ATCAGGTGACTCACTGAGGAGCATCTGAAAGCTGTTCTGATGTTTAGATAATTTTGTCACAAAACAAATGTGACTAATAAGCAAATACAAAATAATCAGCAAGACTGAAAAATAGTACAAGTTTCTCCAGAGACTAGATTTGCTTAAAAAAGATCGTCCCACAAGCTTGGGGACTTGGATTTGGGCTCTTTAGGAATGTGGTTGTAAATTCTGTAATGACGGGTCCTTGAGTTTGGGGTGCTGGACCCCAAAGAACATCGGCAACTTCAGACGTGTGTCTGTCTGTAAGTTTAGCATCTGATGGTTTTGTACATTTGTATGTGGTTGCTTTGGCCTCTTTAAAACCCTTTGGCAGCTCCTCTTCGTTTCCCCTTTGTAGAAACAGCCCAGCTGCAGTCTAGGTCTGCCTAAGCCCCATGATGCAGTACGGCTCTGAATCTTTGTTTAAGATGATACTAGAAGTTTTGAGAATGACCAAGTAAAGAAATCAGGGTGAGCTGGTAAAGCACCTCGCTCAAACCTAGGCCATCTTCACAGCTGCTTTAGAAACGATGTCACATGTTTACAGAGTTGCTTAATCACCAGTAGTAAAATTTAAAAACATTTATTTATGTTTCTTCCATCTCTTTATCTGGGCAGTGAATGCTGTAATTCTTGTGCCTATCTCACTGGTTTTTGTGTTTTTGTTGTTGTTGTTCTTGTGTATGTTGTATCTGGAATATCATAAATGTTTGATAAGTTTTAAATCATTAACTCAGTTTCTGAAATTTGGGCTTTTTCACTATCTCAGTTTTTCCTTCACTTTTCTTGTCATGCTCAAACATCTCATTATCTTTTGTTCTTTGCTGTAGACTCATCTCTTTGTTGGAAACTGGTTCTTGCTGCTCCCTGGGGAGTGCTTGGGATGGGATACAGGACCTTCATCAGCACCTCCAGATCAGCCAGGGCAGCAGCTTACACATAACTACACTGAGAGCTGTTACATCACAGCTCAGTGTGTTTTTGGGACCTACCCCAGTTTGCTCTCCGTTGCTGTGATAAAGTACTGATCAAAGGCAACTTGAGGAAGAGAGTTTATTTGAATTTCATTTTGTTCTCCTGGTCCATCACTGAGGGAAGTCACAGTGGGAACCTGGAGGCAGAGAATGAATCAGAGCCCATGGAGGAGCGTGGCTTACCAAGTTGCTTCCATGCTTGCTCAGCTCCTTTCTTAAACACTCCAGGACCAACTGCCCAGGGAAGCCACCACCACAGTGAGCTGGGCCCCCACACACGAACCATTAACCAAGAAAATGTCCCACAGGCATGTGCACAGCTAATGTGATAAGTGTCCCTCTCCCCAGGTGACTCTAGTTTGTGTCAAGCTGACAAAAACCAAGCAGCATAGAAGCTTCTCCAGTGAGTGTTATTATTTGTAGTAATGTAATAAAGCCTATGATTTTAACTGAAAACATTGCTATGTAAATATTCTTTGCTAGATAAGAAAAAGGTATGACTGTGGATCCAAATGCATAAATGATCTTTTCTCTAGCGTTATTAAGATATACTGTATACATGCATTTATGTTTTAAGCATAAAATATTCACATAGCCATGTAGTTGTGAATGATGACTTTAATGTCTATTTTTGAAAAAATGCTTTTCTTTAGAAATATTTAGCTTTAGATAAACTTAGTGTCTTCATCACTGTTCTATTGCTGTAAAGAGACACCATGACCAAGGCAGCTCTTACTTAATTGGGGGTTGGCTCACAGCTCCAGAGGCTTAGTCCATTATCATCATACGGCTTGCATGCCTCTGGAGCAGTAGCTGAGAGCTGTATTCTGGTCCACAGGCTGAAAGGTGGAGTGGAGGGAGAAAGCCCATCCTCTCTGACACATTCCTCCAACAGGCCTGCACCTACCAATCCTTGTAATCCTTTCAAACAGTGTCACTATTCAGTGACTATGCATTCAAATATAGGAGCCTTTGGAGGCCATTCTTATCAGACCACCACTCTTCAAACACCCATCCTGACAGCCCATTTTTCACATTTCTCCCCCATAGCACCTATATCCCACCAGTCCCTCACTAGAGCGCCTCCCCTGTGCCCCTTCCCTCTCCTGTTTCTGCAATTCCTCCCATGGTACACTCACCTCTCAAGATTGGGGCTGGCACCCATAGGTAAGAGAATATGCAGTGGTCGTCTCTCTGGGCACATGCCAGTGAGTGGATAGCCAGGAATTCACTTTTTGAGAATGTTCCACACTGATTTTCACAGTGGCTGCAACAGTGTGCAGTTGTGTTAATAAAGGGGGTTCTCTTTCCCCTACGTCATCACTAGCATTTCTTGTCAGCTGCTTTCTTGATCTTAGCCATTCTACTGGGGTAAGATGAAATCTCAAAGAGATTTTAATATGTATTTTCCTAATTGCTAAGGATGTTGAACACATTTTGAGATATTTCTTAGCCATCTTATTGCTGTTGGGCATTCTCTGTTTTGATCCCTTGCCCAATTTTTAACTGTGTCAATTTTCTTGACTGTTTTGTGAATTCTTGTATATTCTAGGTATTAAGCCTTTATTGGGTGGAGAGCTGTCAACTTTCCTCTTCTGTGGATCTTCACTTGACTAATTCTTTTCTCTGCTGTGCTAAATGTTTAGCTTTGTGAGGTACCATTTGTCAGTTCTTGGCCTTAATACCCAGGCAAATGGGGCTCCTTTCAGGGGGGACACTCCTTCACCTGTACTGTGTAGGGCACTGTCTGCTTCCTTCTAGTGGTTTCAGCATTCCAGGTTCCACACCAAGGTAGTTGATACATTTCGAGTTGATTTTGTACTGTGTGCTAGATAGGTGCCTGTAGGCCTAGATTTTTCAAACACCTACTTTATTTAAGGTTCTTAAATGGCTCTACCTCCCTTGCAGTCCCCTGACCTTAGGTAGGAGATTAGTAGGGAAAGGGGCTGTAGACCTCTTTTAGCTACTTCCCGCTGATTAAGGTCGTTGGGTTCTTTGGGGGTAACTGATCTCAGTTATCAGGATACCAGCCATCCAGTCAAACAGCAAACAGCTGGCAAAAGAGGCGGTACCCCTCAGCAAAAGTGGCCAGACCCCGCCCACATGGCAGGAGTCCACCAAAGTGGCAAAGCAGCACAAAAGTTCTCTGGAGTGGTCCTCTCTGCAAAAACCAGCAAAGCTATGCAAACCATCGCAAAATGTAGACACAAAAAGTGTTGTCTCACTGTCTGTGGGCTTCTATCTATCCCTTCTCAGAGTCCACACCAGGATGCCTTCCACCTGGCAAAAACCATGCCCCTCGCATGAGGTAGTTTCCAGCCGACAAACATCACATGCCCCTCACAGGGCTGTTTTCAGGGATAGGTGCATTCTACATCCCACACTGGAACCAAAACAAAAAACACATGACACAACTGAGCTTCCAAAGAAACCAGAAACTTGGAAACTTTCGCTTTAGGTCTCCAGCTTCCTTCTTCCACATGTGGGCATCCATGAATTTGAGGAGTTGTGGGTGAGCAGAGGAGCTAAAGGGAAGAGGGGGAGAGGAAAAATAGTAAATGCAGATTCATATATGAAATTCTCAATATGAAATAAAGGAAACATAAGCCTAGTCATCACAGAAGGAGAACTTAAAAGCAGTAATCCTAAAACAAGACTCCTATGTCCTTGGCAGTTGGAGCAACACAGACTCCATGTTCTTAGTTCCACCCACTCCTTAATGTCGTTACAGCTTTTGGATGTTTCCCCCAAAGAATGTTTCTCTCCTGGCTCTGCAGCCTAGTCAGCCAAACTCCTCTGTGGATGACAAGTAAGACGTAGGAAGTATGATCATCAGTGAGGCAAGGTCCCTCTGTTGCCATAACCCTTGCTCTTGGACGCTTAAAGTCAGTCAGCTAAAAGAGGCAGGGGACCCTGAGGAGAGATGGACCGGCAGTTTTGCTGACCTGTGCGCTGAGTACAGAGATGCAGAGGCTGGTACTTACCTCATGTGGTATAGGTCAGTTGACATGCAGATTCAGTGTCTGTAAGATTCACTCTAAACTCACTGCAGAATTCATGGAGGCTTGTCCAGATTAGACTCAGTTTCTGTATTTTTAGTGTCTGCCTCTGCTAGAAACGTGTCTTTAGAAATTTACTGGTGTTCTGAGCAGGCCCCTCTTTGTGTTAGTACATGATTAGAGGGTTTCACTGAATTGGATAACTGCAGTGCATCTTCATTGTAATAAATGTGTGTGATGCAATCCTAAGTTCAAAGAAATTACTGAAAAGCACACTTTACTGTATTTATACCACTGGTTTGGAAATTTTCAAGTAACTCTCTGCCTGACTACTGCCACTTGCATTTCCACAGAACTGCATGACTTGGGGGCCAGGAGCATCTAAACATTTCTTTTCACTCTGTGACCCTCAGTGAAGAAACAAAAACTTTTCCATCATTTGTGAAGTGGAGACGCTAATGGGCAGCTTCCTCAAGGATACTGGAGTATCCTTGCACAGGAAAGCTTAGATGGGAGCTAGCAATATACGGTGTTTAACAGGCACTAGCTGCCATAATAGTTATTAATTTCCATGCAGTGTGGACATTAAACATATTCTGTACATACTCTCAATCAGTTGACATGCTCTGTGGTGGGATTCACTAAGCTGAAGATTAAACGTAGGACCCTTCACACATTAGGCAAACACTCTACCGCTGACCTCCCAGCCTGCTCTTGAAAATTTAAAATGTTTTCCGGCTTCATATTAGCAAGGAGCTAATTCATTTCATCAATGTAGGAGATAGTGATTGAACTTTTTCCATGGAATTTATCTGGCACTTTAAAGATTTGAAAATTTTTCCGTTAGGAAACTACTGAAATACTGTAATGTAGGAGCGGTCGTAGCAGTGAGTGATGGCTAAAATATGCTTGTGATGCAGGAAGCTGGTTGTTTTTGGGTGAGAGATGCTCAGAGAATCTCATACTTTCTTCAGGATCACTCAACATGTCTTGTATCTTTGAACAGGTTTCTGTATGTTTGTGCTGAGCTTGGTGAAGAAACACTACCGCCTGCAGTTTTACATGGTGCGTATCAACAGCTCGCCAGAGCTGCTCTTGTCTTTTCCCTGCACTTGAAGAGATAATAGTCAAATTAGCTAGTCTTGCCTGAGCCTGAAATCTTTTACAATTTTTTGTGTGCATTAGATACAAAGTATTGAAGTTGAAACAAGTGTTGAGAATTAAAACATACATTACCCTAAAATTGTTCCTGAAACATGTTAACATAGTTTCAGAGGCAAAAAACAAAATGTCAGTGGAATGTTTGGATTCTCCAACTGTGGGGATTCGAGTCTGGGATAGCTGCTGACGCACAGGAGGTGTCTGCCGTGTGCTTTTGTGGAAGCTGACCTTGAACACCTGCTGCTGGCATAAGCGTATCAGCAGAGCCTGTGCCACTGAGATAGTTTCGGTCAGCCGTAGATTCTCACTGCCCAAAAGACGCTTTGTTCAGGGGAGAGAAGCAGTATCTCCTATGGTTTCTTTACACAGTGAACTTCTCATTTTCTTATAGTGGCGCTAACTGGGAGTCTGAAGCGAAACGCTGAGAGGTGCAAAATGACAGCAAGGCTCATTTAACATTGGATCATACTTCCCATTTGGGCTTTTTTTTTTTTTTTTTTTTTTTTAAGGAAACAGTCTACAAATTATTATTGCCAGGAAATTTACAATAGTTCCTACATTTCTAATTTCAGAGGATCCTATGGTAAAGTTCTTAATGATACCTAAAAAGCAAGCAACACAAATCGGAAATAATCAGCCCTCCTCTTAGGAACTGGTTCTAAGACCATTGTGAATACAGACCCCATGCACTCCCGAGAACCTTGGGCTCTGTATGGCCCATGTGAATCCTCGTGTGCTCTTTAAATCACTCTTGCTAATTGTAAGACTTAGCATAATCAAATCTTACAGAAATAGTTATTGCTTAAGGAAAAATGACAAGGAAAAACAAGTCTATGCATTGTGATCTGTGTATCTATGGCCTCCTCCTGAATTTGTGAATACAGGACTTACTGGATATAATGGGCCAACTTATGATGTTGCCTGTTGAAAGAAAAATGGATTTTAAAGCAACTAGTATAAAATACTTTTCAAATGTATACCAGCAGAATAGGAGAAAACAACTAACATCAACTGTCTTGCTGAAATGAGAAATGAATTTTTAAGAGTAAATAAAAATCTGAATTATTAAAAAATCACTTCATAATTGCTAGTGAGATTTATCAGATGAGTGTGTAGAGTTATGACTGCTCTTGGTTCACACTCTGCCCCTAGGAATTGTGTAAAAGTCACTGAAGTAGCTTTCTCGCAGGCTGAGGGATGAGGGAGGGTGACGAGTGAGGGTGACGGGTCAGGAGAACAGCAGAGGCTTTGAAACGTTGAAATTGCATAGTGTCGTTGACCAGACCTAGAAAGATCAGCTTTCAGCATGAAAGATGGCACTTAAGGGCAGTTGAATGCAGAGAGTTTTGGTCCTCCAAAGCTAGGACTAGCTCTTGCAGGGAAGGCTGTCGTAGCAAAGCAGGGCAGAGTGTAGCCACCAGCGCTGCACTCCACACCCCAGCAGCTGGAACCTCTCAGTCGTCAGAGCGGGAGAGCCGAGACCGTGCTCTGTGGCAGCACATCTCCCCGGTATTAGCACCCCATCTACCTAGAACTTACGGTTGTTTCGCCCAGCGTTTTCATTTCAGGGTTCCGGTAGGCAATATGAAGTGTAACCTACTAACCACACCTGTTTTGTTTGTATGAACCATATCTTACAAATTCTGATCAGAAGTCATGGCAGAAAATTTGTGTTTCAGAATTGCTCTTGCTCCTTGGCTGTATGATGGGCTGTGTTTGCTAATTTTTGTGTTGTTGGGTTATTAACAGTTCGCATGGACTCATGTCACTTTACTGATAATCGTTACTCAGTCACATCTTGTCATCCAAAATCTGTTTGAAGGCATGATATGGTAAGGGATTCCCTTGTGTTATGCTTGCGTCTGTCTGTCTTGCCTCTTAAACCCCCTAATGCCGGGCAGTAGCTTTCCAGTTCCCACTACAATGTATCACCTGATGTATCCCATTACAATCACTGAGTTTTACCTACTGTTTGACCACTGAGCACAAATGCTTCATTAATGGCTAGAACTCTTTCTTTTAGTTCCAAATAAAATGCAAAAAGTCTTCCTCAAGACCCAGTTACATTTTCAGATGCTAATCAACCCGAATGTTACTTAAAAAAAAAAAAAAATAGATGTTATTTACAGGAATGCAAAAACTATGTGAGAGTCTGCTTTCAGAAAGCCGGTTGTGTCCAGGTGACAGTTGGGCGGGTTCTGTTTCACTTCTGGAAAGGAGCAGGCCTCTAGCCGGCTCCAGAGCTGTGAGTGCCTCAGCACTGGGCTCTGCAGATTCAGAAAGCACTTTTATTAATTAAAAGTCATCCAGCTTAATAAGAAGAAGTGAGCTGGAGCAGAGAAGAGGCTGATTAGCTCTGGGTACATACAGTGCACACGAGCCCTCTCCCTCCGTGGCCCCCGTGAAGTCACCTACCAGAATCTTTTGTAGGAAACTGGAATTTTGCCAGGGTAAGTTTTGCCCACCTGACAGCTTATCAGACTCTGCATGTGTCTGTGTGAACACTTACAGTCTAGTTTGGGGATGATTGCCATATAAAACCTTTAGTTGAGGGAGAAGTGTTGCTTATATAAGTAGGTTCTGCAGAATGATCAGAGTTTGTCAGGGTCACAGGCAAAGATAGAAGGAATTAAAATTAATTCCTTCCCTGAAAGAATTTGCATTGAGTCTTCCTGTAGACTTATCACTTCATTCCCTGCCTGTGAAAGTGACTTGATTTACGCCTCATGAGGCTGCTCTTAAAAGAACTGATTTTTTTCCTACATTGTTTCTCATAAAATTAAACTTTAAATGTTGGTAACTGTAGCAATTGCTTATTTAATAGTTTCCGGAGCAGTGAGCTCTCTTAGTGTCTTAGTTTAGAGTGAGCTGGTTTGGGGTTTTCTGTTTCTCCTAGGCCTTTGTCATGTGCTCTGCTCTGTCCATTGTAGGAGCTAAAGGGTTGTCACGTGGGTTGACTTTGAGCTGTGACCCGGATGCCTGTTGCCTGTTTAACCACACTTACTTTCCTCTGCTACTGTTTTAAGGTTCCTTGTTCCAATATCAAGTGTCATCTGCAATGACATCACCGCTTACCTTTTTGGATTTTTTTTTGGAAGAACTCCTTTAATTAAGGTAATGGAAATATTAGAAGGAAGCCCTTCCCATAACCTTAAAGCCCAGCCACTGAGAACATTTTGAGCGTTTGGTGCTCTTGTGAGTCTTTGATTTCCAGGATGCCTTGAATCTCCTGCACGCCCACGCTTTCCCACTGAGTGTGTGGTCACGTGTTCAGGTTATTCAATGGGAACTGGCTCCATTTTCCTCTGCTTGTGATGGCTCATCTCATCCTGCTGGTTTCTCCTTCCCTGACCCTTACTCAGTTAGTTCTTTAACCCCTTTCTGGCAACCCCAAAGCCAAGACTTCCCTTGACTCTGCCCCCTCAGCTGTCCCTTCCTTCATTAAACTTCCTAAAAGAGTGAGGTACACCATCTGTGTGTACTGTCATCCAAAGACGCCCAAGTTCATTTGAAAACAAAAGACTGGAGGGGCTAAAGCAAATAGGAAAAGGCCAAGACAAGGGAGGAAGGCACATGGGATCTGCCCTGTCATTCTGCCTTAGCTTTGGTTCTGTGTATGCACAGTGAGGGCAAGGACAGGAATTAAATTATTCACATCTCATTTTTGGTAAAAAAAAAAAAAAAGGTGGGGGAGAAGAAAAGAAACCAATTCTTATGAAAAATCAGACCTTTTCCTAGAACTGATTTACTTACTTATTTAATTTTTTTTTTTTTTTTTTTTTTT